CCGTAACAAGCACTCACATACATTTTTGTTATTTCTCTGTGTGCAGTAGAATACGCGCCAGTTTGTTGTCTGAAACGAGTTTTCAGTTTAGTGTTTTGTTTGCCTAGTTGTCATCTGAGCAACTGAAAGTCTTTATTTTATGTTCTAGAGGGTGGTCATCGGTCGTCAGTCAGGACCGACACCAGCTTGGAATAACAATGGTGTCGGTGGCGTTCGGGATAGCAGCTAAGTTGTGCGGACAGCCTTTAAATTTTCCTCCTGCGAAACCACTTGTCCAAATAACCAATTATCCCCTCTCTAACTATTTGTATCACACCTGACCACGATCCGTTGCCGTTGACATAGGCATATATTATTATAACAAATGACTTAGAATGCACTTAAGCGTACATGAAGTTTAGCTGCGTTGTAAGAATACCAACATATTGGTCAGTTTTGCTCACCTGTGGTTGGACTAATGAATCGGTAACTTTGATGGCTACCACTTGGCACTATACAACAAACTCGATTAGCGCCACAGTAACCCATTTGTTTAACTTCAGAGGCCCGTCAGTTGGGTCACCACCTGAAGTTTTGTTGATCAATTACCTTAATGTGCCTTTTCTCAATAATGTAACTTGTTAAGCATCAATAAAGCTAGTCATCTTTGTTGTGAAACGTACAGAAATACAAACTGTTTGTCCTAATCGGGCTAGTTAGTATTATCTTCCCGGATGGGGTCGTTGTGAATGGTCACATCGGGATTGGTATTCCCTTACTGACAGGTATTCATGAAGCCAACAACACTTTGTATTCACGTTGTTGCTTCCATTCGCTAATCTCATTATTGAGAAAGCTTGTGTTAACATACAGTAACAAGATATCCACATCTCTTCCACAGTGCATCATTAGAAACGATTGGATATATTGTTGAGACAAGGTGCCGCTACCGCAGACAGATCTATTAAGGTTTACCCTGGCTGCGTCCTACGTGTCCTAATCCCGCGTGCAATTCAACGCGGCACAAAATTTCAAAGAGATTGTACCTACAACTGTGAATGAACGCTTCTGGTTGGTCCATCCATTCGGATACGCTTTATAACCCCAAAGGTGTTGTTGCGCGATTCCCGACGACTTGCTACCCCTTCGAACCATGATGACTAGGATTTTGATTCTGCTGATATAAAAATCTATCCTAGCAGCTGCATTGGTAGAGAGAAGTACTTGACTGTTACAATTGAGTCACTTGTCTCAAAAAGTGGGGCTGCATTGATTAAATGTGGCATTCTTAGTACCTGGGCTTAAAGGTCGTATATACATTACCAAAGGGATGGCCGTTCTCCTCCGTGTAGAGAACTCCTACCCCTTTGGTCAAACCTTTCCCAAGCACCGTCAAAAATTATATCAGGTTTAGCTGCGGCGCATTGATGGGGTTGTTTGACGTACAAATAGCTATATGGTGCCCGGGTGAATACAGGACAGAGATGACTAAGTCAATTCGTTAGATCTGCAAATATAAATCTGCGTAACGCAATTATTCGAATATATACTACATATGCCAGACTATGGATCACCGAGGAAGGACTTATTTTGCTTACCGGAGCTAGATAAGTTAAGGTTTAATGAGGGCAAGGGCGATTCGGTCTTTGGGGATTAAGTGACGCGTAAACGGCTGTCCATAAGTCCGCGTGGTTTTCTAGGCGGGGTCCTTGCGTGTTTGACACCACACATTAAAGTTTCTTTTATGTAGCCGATACAGCTGGTATGTTTACTATCACCTTCCAGCTGACCTTTATACCTTGCTGGGCTAGCTGTGAAATGGGGATACCAAAGACGTGAGTAGTGTAGGCCATATGCTTGCTGGTTGTGACAGTCGGTGGCGGATAAACTGTAGATGTCGTGATTCTGAATACTTACTCCGACATTCCCCCATTGCACTTCTTGCTATTCACCCGTCTACACATTTCTCGTCCGCATATTTATCGGGGCTGTCTAGCAGTGAAGTACTGATGTACTTACATTTGTACTGGATAAGATACATAACTATTACGGATTACGTGTTGGAAACAGCAGGAAGAGTTATTTCTGGGTAGCTGTATCTAATATCATTCGGGGACAAGGACCCGTTATGTCATCAGTATCATCATCATCATAGGCATCATGATCCCCAGTACCATCATCATCATCCTAATCACCATCATTATTATCATGATTAGCATCATCATGATCATCCTCATCATCAGTGACCCACGTCGCTGGAGTGTTGCTGTGAGTGATCACGCGTGAAACCAATTCAGCCAAGCACCTGTGTTTCTCTTTACCTCAAATATTCTGCCGCAGTTCTTTAGAAAAGTAGAACAGCAGGTCCCCTTCAGCCATTTCGTCAAGGCAGAGAGAAGATAGAGGTTGCGATATGTCAACATTTCGAGTGTTCTCTTCAGTCGCAAACACAGTACGAGCAGAAACACACAAAACGATTATATACATGGAAAAATAAACAACACCAATCAAAATGTCACGGTCATGACCATGGCAACCGAATTTACTGCTTCAAGAGTTTCTGTGCACATAGCACAGGCTGATGGGCCTTAATCAACAGAGTTTCATTAATCACCAGCATTATCGGATTTTTGTTGCGTAATAACACCTTGCACACTGTCTCACGGTCCACGTGATAACGGGTTCCCATGAGGTGCTTGGTGATAAATGATGCCGAGCCCCGATTAATTCTCAGATACGTCCCATTTTGTTGCGTAATCACTTGTCCTAACCACTTCGACAAATGTTCAGCAACCCTCTGAGCTAACTGGCGGTTTGTTCTGCCTATGTAAATGTCAAGACAACCGCAGGTGAACTCATAAACAACGTGAGACGCCGAACTACCCGACGAGATGCTCTGACGGTTATGAAGAACAAGTGCTCGCGTGGAATGCTTGAGTCGCAACTTTGCTGTCGTGTAGGTGCGCGTTAGAGCGAACCGGAGCTTGCATCCGATATCATTTGCCACATCATCCTTCTTGAACGGTAAGAACAAATGAACATCCTTTTTCTCAGCCGCCAGCACCGGTGTTTTCATGCTTGTGTGGTCTGCTGTGTACTTGAATAAACTTAAGATATCCACTAGAAATTAAGGTCTTGGGTAGAATTTTTTCTTCGACTTTTAACGTTGCAGGGCTATGTGCACAGCAACTCTTGAGGCAATGAATTCGGTTGCCATGGTCTTGGCTGTGACATTTTAATTGGTATTACTTATTTTTTCCGTGTATATATTCGTTTGTGTGTTTCTGCTTGTATTGCGTTTGCGACTGAAGAGAACAATCGAAATGTTGACATATCGTAACCTCTGTCTTCTCCCCGCAATTTTTCCTTGAGCAACTCCTTTGAAACGCGTGTCGTAGAAATTACTGCTTATTAAGACTATATTACTTTATGTATTTTTCATGTTGAAGCAATAGTTGCTAGCTTTTTAGAAAGAATTGCAAGCTGTTGGTACGAAATTTTGCTAGAAGCTCAAGTTTTTGGTTCCGTACATTTTTGTATTACTAAATGCAAGTAATTAGTACCGGTATCCAGTTCCAGCACTGTTCGCTAAGTTGGCCCTGCTGCAAATGCCTCACTTAAGCCTTCCAAGCGCGTTTGTGTATGTATAAATATATATATTCATTTGTGATATATATTATATTATTAGAGATACCAGTAAATTTTCTGTGTACCTCTTGTGGTCCATAGTTGCAGCAGTGACCCCTAGTACTCCGTTTTTCCGATATTTCGATAATATTATTATTATTATTATTATTATTATTGTAAAACATCGTAATGACCGAGGTCCACCTCAAGTGAACCGAAGTCTCAATAGCGGATTCTCCAAGTTCAACTTTGAAAACACCTTTTTCTTTTTTATATCCCCTTTATTTCAGTCTTCATTAAGGTTACTAAGAAGAAAGTCGACACCGAGTGCCACGTTCTTTCCTTCCTTTCTAGAGTTCTTTTTCTGACTTGAAACTATTGTCCATAATAATTATGCGGCCCACACCAATCATTTTGCTCCCTATCTGGCCCGCGGTGGTCATTTGTTCTAATCATCCGGCCCGCTGCGAAACATGTTTGTTGACCGCTGCAATACACACTCAACCGCGTGAAGTCGCCGTGGAGGGCCTTATGGGGCTATCAACTCACTTAATTAGTGCACGGTGTAGTTGCCGAAGGCAATTCATATCGTACGGTTTCTCTTTCTATTGTAATTTGTATGTACTCTGTTTATGCTTGCTATGCTGTGTCCCGCTTCCGCACCCTCCATGATTCGGTGCGCTGACGCTTGATCTTGCTCATTTCATTGTCCACACCTCGGCGTGGCTTCACGAAGATAGTCCATAGCGATCACCCCTGTTTACTCGCTCATTCCCTTCATTATTCATCATTATACACGGTAGACGCAGCTGGAAAACACCTCAGCGATTGTACCGCAATACAAAAGCAAAGTAAATAACTCATGGAACAGATCCACGCCGGCTGAGTCACCAGTAGCGGATGGACTTCGTTCCGGATAGCAAACAGCCGACTATAGAGCCACAAAAAGGAGTTATATTATACCTAATAAATGAGATCGTAGTTGGAACAGGAGACTAAGTGGAAGGGGAGGGATAAATAGGCTCACAACCTCTGATTTCGTTACTCAATTACTATCCCACCTCGGAACTGATATTCACTAATCATACAAATGGTAAGTATATGCTGTAGCCGATGGCCGATGTATGGATGCGGACTCTGAATTCCTTGAGCAGTATCGCGTTCATCCACCGTCGCGAGCTACCCGTGTTGTGGTAACATTCGGCGAATGCTTCAAGTTGTACCTTTTAGGTAACTAGAATACGATTCCACCACTTCCACAGCTCCGCTTAACAGCGTCTCTCATCAGTCTTAGCAGGATCGAGCCATCCTCTCTTTGATTAACTTGTCCATTTCATTTTCCGTGAACCGTGTCTAACTGAAACATGTTGCTCATCTGCCTTTCGCTACTCCAGGCAGCCTCTTTGGCCAGAAAGGAAGAAATGCGCAAACACGATTTGGCTCGAACGAAAAATACCAAACTAACAGATTTGGAGGAGGAGGCAAGAAAGCAAGCCGATGTACTGTTGCAGAAGGCGTTGGAACAACGACAAGATCAGGAGGATGAAATCCGAGAGTTGAATGAGCTTATTCGGAATGCCAAAATCCAAGCAATCAGGGATGAGCAAATTTTAGAGAAGCAGCAAATTCGAAAAGAGTTGAGTGAAGAAGAACTACGCTTGGACAACATGATGGAGCTGGCGCGCCAGAATGCGATTCGTATCCAGGAAGAAATTGATAAAAAGCGAAAGGAACAGGTGGGTTAAATTGTTGACGCCTTAAGAGATACACTTAAACGGCTTCCCGATCAAAATGATACTAACAATTACGTTCGTCTACCGTAGTCAACAATGGGCATGTGCCTGCATGCAAAGGCAGCGGCGATTCAACGAGTTCCATACCTTGAGCAAGCGGTTGCAGAAGGCCGCGCTTCCCCAACTGGTTAAATCGGTGCCGGTTGATCTAAAGCATGCACATAAAAATTTAACGAAACGACTAGATCCTTTTGATGGACTTATCGTATAAAGTCCGTCTCCAAATACTGCTACCGTGAACTGAGGAGAAGACGCAGCTATATAGAGACAGCCGCTTAATGACAAAGAACACGATCTTTTGGTGTGGTGACTCATGGTGCGGTACCGTCAGTATATGAGACTAGCTACGAAGTTCCACAGCTATGCGAGTGTTTCAGCCGTATTGCCGCATGTGGTTACTGCTCATGGTTGAAGCAAACAAGTGCCACATAGAGTCCCCAATATCCCGCAGTGATAGCCAAGGGTACAATAAAGTCATAAGTTTAGTTGCAAATCTGCACAGCAATTTCAAGCAACCCGAGAAGTAACAAGAATGTCACAGCATCATAGAGTCCGGTGGGATGTTAATACTTGATATCGCTCAGTTTCTGTACTCCGCACTGCAAGCACTTCCTTCCCTGTCTACATTCCATATGTAGGTGTGTCCAGGGGGTTAAACTAGTCCCTAGAAGTGTTTCAAAAGCCAAAGTTTACTCCCGAACCTCTGTGACTTGCGGGAGTCATTGAACCGGTAGTACACGTTTCTATCGGAAAGCAACGAGATTCCCAGTTCCATCCTCATCCTTAACTATCCCAATATGGCGAGTCCAGGCACGAGTAGAGCCAACCGTAATGCATAATATCTACGGCGATCAATTGCTGACGTGTCAGTGTGGTCGAGCATGTAGAGGCTCATTTCAAAGAAATCTCTGTTCGTGGCACAATGCAAACATGCGGCAAGAGCCAAAAACCTAACCTGGACGCATCGTCATCTCCAGGTCCGAGTGTCAGTGTGAAGTGCGTCCGATATTTAAGGAGTAAGATGACGCTCGTTAGCTAAATCCACAAGGAAGCTGTCTCGCTGATAGCCAACTGCTTGTAACTCCGCTTGTTGACAAGTTGCAGACGTATTGACTCCGAATGTTTGTTTAAAGCATTTAGCTTTAATGCCACGGCATCTTCTTCTGTTTTAGTAATTCTCGTTCTTTAAATTATTATGGTTGTATGGATGCGAAACACCAGTTCGAACCACTGATGGGCTGCTGTTGACGATGAGAACAACGATGGTTATTTGGTTATGATTGACCGGTGCTTATCCCCAGCTCCTTTGCATGTTACTAATGCACAAAGGCGAGGTTGGTGTCCCCTGTAGTGTCACAATGTTGCACAAATCAGCAACACATAGTAGTTTATGAACTGGAATTGTTGGTACTTATGTGGTGTGGTTGTATGATCCCCATCCATGATGGACTCTGTTATTTGACTCCTATTCAAACGCTTTATGTAATTCCCCACACCCCGGTCGAGTACAGCCGGCGAGTCTTCACCACTGAGTAACCACCGTCCAACAGAATAACTCCGCATGTGGGATGATACTCGAACCAGAGATAGAAAGCTGACCTTGAGTAGTTGTACTTTCACTACCACAGTAAAAGGCGAACATGCGTTCTACACGTCCGTATTTATTGTATAGTTAACCAGATAACACTAGGTATGACCTAATACGTAGTATCACTAAG